TTATTCATTGTAAATTATTTTTGTTAGTTATTTTTAAATTCAAAATCACAATTATATTGAAGAAAATAAGTAAAATGATTGAATTAGCATTAATATTTAAAAATAAATTAAATTATTAGAAAAATTAAAAAATATTTCTTTTTATTTGAATTTAATAATTAGTTTTTCTTGTTGTGTAGTTTTTCATGACTTGAATATTTATTACTGCTTTATAATGTAATCAATTAAATAAATATTTAGATTGTATTTTGACAATATTTTTTACAGCACATCTTATCTAATGTTTTTATCTTAAAGCTGATATTTCTAGAAGTCATTTTCGGAATATCCTTAAAATTATAGTATAAAGCATTAACTGAACCAAATTGACCCTTAGGATATTTTCCGCACATATAGGTCTTTTTTAAAATTATTATAAATTTTGTTTTTAAAGATGTCTGAAAGCTAGAGTTCTTTGTATAGAAACTGCTAGTGTTGAATCAGAATCCATCTTTTTCAGGTGTTAAAGGACTTCCTTGATACTGCTGAAGCTGAAGTAAGGGCACTTATCTCCTTATATTCTGAAGTGGTAAGTTCCCTCTTTTATTGTCAGTGAAGTTGTGAAATTTTGGTTGGGACAAATTAGTTCCACCATTATGAAGGAACAATTTTGTTCTGTGATTTGACAAATTTTGTCCTATCAAGTCTCTTTTCTATCACCAAACAAATGACTTTATGGTTGTCACATGCTACCTTGATTTCTGGTCTTGTTTTACAGGGAAGAAATGCAGATTCACTGTCTCAGTACTTCGGGGAGGATCCAGCTCGATGCCCCTTTGAGCAAGGTACTGATCTATGCATTATTTTAGCTGATAACGAATTATAATAGCGGAGCTTACTTTGAGGATGCTTAGGCACTCTTTAATAGTAGAAATTATTTTGATGTTATTTTCCAAATATATATATATTTGATACACATGGGTATTTGTTGAAAATGAAAACAATGTTCAGAAAATAGTAGGAAAATTCTGAAATGAATTGGAAAAAGCCTTTTTCTTCTTTTCAAGCTAATACCAAATATTACCATTATTTTCCAAATTTTATTTTTCATTTTTGAACAGCTATTTATATTTTTATCAATAAACATATACAACTTCAGAAATTCAATTTCAGAGTAGCTTTCTATGAACTGGGTTTTGGATATGATATGTGAAAATAAACAGACAACAGGTGAGTCCAGCACTAATCCAAACTAATCCCTACAGATCAGAGTTGGAAATGGCAAGACAAAGGTTACATAAAATTGGTTTCTTTTTTATTTTTTTATATAGATAAACAACCCAGTTCACACTAAGGTAAGATTTTAAATTATTTCATTTTACTTAGGGTATATATTTAAACAATTATTAATGTGGTTAATAATAGTTTAAATAAATTAAATAAGCTAAGAAGTGATTGATCATTGATTATCGATAAGATAAGAAAGAGGGGCCTTTTTTGCTGTGTTATGGGTTTTATAGTTGTATAATTCTTATCCTTTCTGATGAGATTTCTTCTTTTATATAAACACGAATTCAAGCTGTATGTCTTGGTAAGCAAATAATTTCAAATTATAAGAATTTTCCAGTTCTAACTTGTATAGTTACAAAATCCCATCACAATTAAATGGGTGATGTTCATGATTGCAGTGACTCAAATCTTGGTAGTTTTCACAAAAATGTTCCGCAAGTCTCGAGAAGAGAATGAAAGACAAGCTGAAGCTGAGAAAAAGAAATTGGAGAAAGAAGCGTTAAAGAAAGAGCAGCAACAAATTTATCTCGAAAAAAAGATGTTGGATGTTGATAATTCCAAACTCAAATTTCAACTTGAGAAATTTGGTTAGTGATAATCCACATTTTTAGTAGTTGTACATGTCGGATAAAAAAATAGAACAGAGTGTTGAATAACTTTAGGGAAGAACTACATTGATGAAGGTTGTTGATGTTAAATGCGGCATCAGTTTTCTTGCACGTAGGTGGGTGCTGTTTTTAAGCTTATATTCCAGTTTAGGTTGCATAGAATTGTACAATCTTTTACCTCATCTATGGTTGGATTTAATGATCCTTATAATATAATGCAATATTAATATAATGTAATTAGTTACAACAGGAAAATGCTGTCATTATTGTTACATTACAAGTTTGATTATATAAATTAGATGATTAGACTTCTAGTAAGCAGTTTTGATTATGGTTTTTTCTTATTACTATATAGATAATTAATTAATGGGAATCAGAGATCATATAGAAATTTTTGAAGTTTGAATTCTGGTTCAAATTCAAAATGATGGACTTTGGACCAACTTTGAATAACAACACGTTCGGTTTTACATCATCTTCAGTTGTTATTGTTAAATTTATCTCTTTAATTTTATATAACTCAATGTTTTAATTAAAACTCAATCTTCTTAAATTGTCACATAAATATTTTTGATAACATTGTAAATTAAGATAGGAGAGAAAATAGTCAACTCTTCACGGTTAAAATTAGATTTCTTTTTTCTTTGCTTCCTTTTTTTTTTTTTTTGGGTGGGGAATGAAAGTACTAAAGTTTAATTCAATCTTTTAGTTCTGAAGACTTGCAAGAAATTCGGCCAATTTATAATTATCAAAAACCAGAATTTACTGGAGCTCATT